TTTCTGAGTAGAGTTTTTAACACCATAAAATTCTGTTCATATTTACATACCTTATTCATGATTGACTTTCTACAGAGTATTCTAAATATGTGCACTGAAATTATACTATAAACAACATGTCAAAAACATGTTAATTTAGTACCATAGAATTTTTTTAAGAAGCATTTTTATAAGGACAGATTAGATGTTTATATTCTACAAGATAAAAATAAACCTACTTTGACATTTACAAATACACTTTTCTAAGAATAATTTGGACTCTGCATTTAGATAAACATAGGTTGCAGCATTTTTTCTCCCTCAGTATCTGTTACTTTAAAAAACTGACATTTCAGTTTTTGTCTTTGTAAAGATGATTGATGTATAGACCCTCAATGATATCGAGAAGACCTTGCATCCTTTATCTATTGTTGCATAGCAAAGCAGCAAAAAACCTTAATGTCTTAAAAGAAATGTGTTCTTTCTCACAATTCTGTGAAATGCTTGATCGGTACTCCTGAAATTGCCTGGAATCACTAGGTCTCACTTGTGCTTCTATAGTCAGTTGGCAGATCTACTGGAGGCTGGACTCAGCTGTGACAGTTGGGATGACAGGGTCTCTTTCTACACCACAGTCTTTAGACTTGGGATTGTTGAAGCTTAGAGGACTTATGGAAATATTGTATGAGGACAAATCCAAATGCACTATATTAGCCAATGTTCTAGAGTCAGTGTGGAAGTAGAATTCATGGAATAATGGATAAAGGGAAGCAATTTCATTAGGAATAATTAGTAAAATTGGAAAAAATCTAACAGCCACTCAATACTGGGATTTAAATATTTCACATTAGTATATGATTAATTGGACAAATTGCAATAATTTTATATTGATATGGTATTTATAATTAAAATATAATATCATACTCAGCAAAATGGAAAAAGTTGTATATTTTGATAGATTTAGATTAAGCCAATTACCCTTCTTATATTAGCTAACATAACTTTTTGACCTTCAAGTATTCACTTTCTGAAAATTCCCTTTCTGAAAAACAAGATGAAATGTTTTAATAATTCTTAAAAACTTATTATTTATTTATTTATTTTTCAGCTTTATTGGGGTATAATTGATATATAAAAATTGCATATATATGACATATAACATAAAAATTTGAAATATAATTTAATACATTATGAAATTATTAGTGCAATCACATTAGTTAACACATCCATTACCTTGCATGGTTACGAGTTTTTGTGTAGTCTTTTTCCCAAGTTTATGTTGGTTATATACAGTCTTCTGTGATTTCGTACCAATTTTTTATTTGTTTTTGGTGATTTTGTCAAAATGTCATTACAATTTTGATAAAGAGCACATTAAATCTGTAGATGGCTTTGAGTAGTAATTTAATGATACCAATTCTTCCAATTCATGAACATGTGATACTTTTCCATTTATTTGTTTTGATTTTGGTTTCTTTCATCAATATCTCATAGATTTCCTCATGCAGATCTTTCACTTCCATCATTAAGTATATTCCCAAATATTTATTTTATTATTTTTAACACTATTATAAATGGTATTTGTATCAGTCCATTCTTGCACTGCTATTAAGAGACACCTGAGTCTTGTAAATTTATAAAGAAAAGAGGTTTACTTGGCTCACAGTTTCACAGGCTCTACAGGAAGCATGGTGGGGGAAGCCTCAGGAAACTTAAAATTATGGCAAAAGTGAAGGGGAAGCAGGAATGTTTTACATGACTAGAGCAGGACAAAGAGAGGAGAGGTGCCACACACTTATAAATAACCAGATCTAGCAATAACTCACTCACTGTCACAAGAACAGGACCGAAGGGGAAACTCACCCCCATGATCCAGTCACTTCCTACTAAGCCCCACCTTCAACATTGGGGATTACAATTTGACATTGGATTTGGTCAGGGACAAAGACCCAAAACAAATCATTCTGCCTTCTTCCCCTCCCAAATCTCACATCCCTCTCACACTTCAAAATACAATTATGCCTCCCCAGTTGTCCCCCTAAAACTTATCTCATTCTGGCATTAGCTCTAAAGTCCATAGTCCAAAGTCTCATGAGACAAGGATAGACCCTTCCACCTATGAGCTTACAAAATAAAAAACAAGTTAGGTACTTTGAAGATACAGTGGGGGTATAGACATTGGGTAAATACTGCCATTTCAAAAGGGAGAAATCAGCCAAAAGAAAGGGGATACATGCCTTGTGCAAGTCTGAAACCCAGCAGGGAAGATATTAAAACTTAAAGCTCCAAAATAATTTCCTTTGACTCCAGGTGTCACATTCAGGCCACACTGATGCAGGGGGTGGGCTTCCCAAGCTTCAGTCAGCTCTGCCCCTTTGGCTCTACAGGGCTCAGCCCCAGTGGCTGCTCTCAAGGTCTGGTGATGTGTCTGTGGCTTTTCTAGGTATATGGTGCGAGCTGTTGGTGGATCTACAATTCTGGGGTCTGGAGAATGGTGGTCCACTCCTCACAGCTCCATTAGACAGTGCCATAGTGGGGATTCTGTGTGTGGACTCCAACCCCACATTTTCCCTCTGCATTCCCCTAGTAGAGGTTCTCCATGAGGGCTCTGCTTCTGCAGCAGACTTCTGCCTGGACATTCAAGCTTTTCCATACATCTTCTGAACTTTAGGTAGAGACTCCCAAGCAGCAACCTCTGTATTCTGCACACCCACAGGCTTAACACCATGTAAAAGCCACAAAGTTTTATGGCTTGCACCCTCTGAAGCAGCAGCCCAAGTACCTGGACCCCTTTGAGCAATGACTGGAGCTGTAGCAACCAGGATTCAGGGTACAGTGTCCTGAGGCTGTGCAGGGCAGTGGGGCCATGGGACTGGCCCACAAAACCATTTTTTACTCGTATGCCTGCTGACCTGTAGTGGGAGTGGCTGCCATGAAACTTCCTGAAATACCTTCAGGACCCTTTTCCCATTGTCTTGGCTATTTGTATGTGTCTTCCTTTTAGATATGCAAATTTCTTCAGCCTGCTTGAATTTCTCCCCTAAATTTTTTTTTTCTACCACATGGCCAAACCATAAATTTTTCAAACTTTTATGCTCTGCTTCCCTTTTAAATATGTTTCCAGTTACGGGTAATTTCTTTGTTCACATATCTGAGCATAGGCTTTTAGAAGCAGCCATGCCTCATCTTGAATGCTTTGCTGCTTAGAAATTTCTTCTACTAAATATTATAAATAATCTCTTTCAAGTTCAAAGTTCCACAGATCACTAGAGCAGGGGCACAGTGCTATCAGGTTCTTTGCTAATGCATGACAAAAGTGACCTTTGCTCCAGTCCCCAATAAGTACCTCATCTCCATCTGAGGCTGCATCAGGCTGGTCATCTATGCATCTCACTGTCAGCATTTTGATCAAAACTATTCAACAATTCTCTAGGACATTCCAAATTTTCTCTCATCTTCCTGCCTTCTTATCAGTCTTCAAAACTATTCCAACCACTGTCTGTTACCCATTTTCAAAGCTGTTCCCACATTTTCAGGTATCTTTATAGCAATGCCCCACTCCTAGGTCCCTATTTTCTTTTCTTTTTTTTGAGGCAGAATCTAGCTCTGTCCCCCAGGCTGTAGTGCAGTGGTGCGATCTCGGCTCACTGCAAGCTCCACCTCCCAGGTTCATGCCATTCTTCTGCCTCAGTCTCCTGAGTAGCTGGAATTGCAGGAGCCTGCTACCATGCCCATCTATTTTTTTTTGTTTTGTTTTTTGTTTTTTTTTTTTTTTTGTATTTTTAGTAGAGACGGGGTTTCGCTGTGTTGGCCAGGATGGTCTCGATCTCCTAACCTCGTGATCTGCCTGCCTCGGCTTCCCAAAGTGCTGGATTACAGGCATGAGCCACCATGCCCGGCCTAGGTACCAATTTTCTGTATTAGTCCATTGTTACACTGCTATAAAGAAACAGCTGAGACTGGTTAATTTATAACGAAACGAGGTTTACTTGGCTCACGATTTGAGGACTGTACAGGAATTGTGGCTTGGGAGGCCTCAGGAAACTTACAATCATGGTAGAAGATGAAGGGGAAGCAGGCATGTCTTTCATGGCCAGAGCAGCAGGAATATAGAGAGGAGGGAGGCACCATGTGCTTGTAAACAACCAGATCTTGAGATAACTCACTCACTGTATTAGTCCATTTTTGCACTGCTATAAAGAACTACCTGATACCAGGCAATTTAGAAGGAAAAGAAGTTTAAGTGGCTTACAGTTTTGCAGGCTGTACGGGAAACATGGCTGAGAAATTCTCAGAAAACTTTCAGTCATGGTGGAGTCAGGCAAACCTTACGTGGCTGAAGCAGGAGGAAGAGAAAGAAGTGAGAGGTGCTACACATTTTTCAACAACCAGATATCATGAGAACTCACTACCTGTCACAAGAATAGCAAGGGAGAAACGTGCTCCTTGATCCAGTCACCTCCCACCAGGCCCCTTTTCAGACATTGGGGATTACAATTTGATATGAGACTTGGGCATAGACACAGGCCCAAACCATATCGGTATTGTTTTTATAAATTATTTCAGAATGTCATTCTCCTTATTAATTCCATATTCTTTTCCTCACATCTTCAGTCAGCCACTGGGGTATTCTAGTTGGATCTCCCTTCCAGAGTGTAATAGCTGTTGATATACAAGAAGTTCAGATAGCTAATAGTTTCCAGCTGTGTCACCTGGCACATCTATCTTCACTTACAAGCTGACCCCATTCTCTTCTCGATCAGCTGCCCTCCAAGAATGGGCAATGGCAGAGGTATCAGGCCCAGGCCATATCTACCCAATATAAGACTCAGGTAATAGATTATCGCTGCACTGTATCTTCCTGTTGTGGTGGCCAAGACATTGTCAGATATAAATTTCAGTTTGTTGTTGTTGTTCAATTCTTCTTTCTCCTTGCTTTCCTTTCTCATGGTTCCAGTGTTCCTTGGGGTCTGGAAGCTATCCTTGACTGATTTTGCTTCCTTCTCTTCTATTTCCCATAGGAGTTTATCTCAATGAACTTCCTACAGAATCAGATTCCCAGAGGACGTAACTGAGAGATACCAGGAGTGATCTGAGAAAGCAGATGTGGTAAGATAGGGTTTTGGGGACTGTATATCTCATTGCTCTGTCAGTAATAGAAATCCAATACCAAGAGGCATGCTAAAAACAGTGTCTGGAACAGAATGGCAGGTCTACTGCTAAATATTGTGATAGTGATGGCTTGGGAAAATGGTCATTTGGATGTGACTGCACTCACCAGCACAATGATGCAGGTATTTAAAAAGTACAGAAGTAATGCAGACAAGGGATATTTATATTTATTGGTTGTTATTGTTTTATTGACATCCAACAGAGTGATAATGGAAGGTTAGGACAGTAGACAAGCAATTCAAAACAAAGTGTGAAGAAAAGAGCCTTTTTTTTTGTACCTTAAGTGGAACTTTTATTACCTGCAATGAGAGGGCAGAATAGCAAATTATACTTAGATTTATGCCATTTCAAAATAACTCACAATTCAACTGAGGCAGATCTGTTATGCCAAAGTTGAACCCTGGTGGGAAAAACCTGGAACTCTGACATAGAGAATAGAAACATCTGAATCCTTGAAAATTTTAGTTACCCAGACTACTCTGAACTTACAGATTCTACAGAGGTTTCTCACATCTCCTATTATAACCTAGCAATCCCTTTTTGCAGGAAGATACTGTGGAATTCTATCCTTACCTTTTCCATGGACACCAATTTGACAATTAGGGTTAAGTCATAGCATAACCAAATTGATATCATGCCAGGACTAATAAGGAAGAAAGAACTTTACACTAATGGACATGCAAAAATTAGCCACTGGATTTGTGAAAGAGAACATAACATAAAACTGGATCAGCAACATTTTATTCACAGTATATTGTCTCAGGATTTGGAATTTAACATCCCAGCAAGGACCTCAGGGGATGTCTCATAGAAGCCTAGAGAAAGCAAACTTTCATGCTGAGCAAAGTTGAAATGCCCAAATTGATGTGACAGACAGTGAAAGAAGAGATAAAAACGTTCAGGAAAGTTGTCACACTGGAATGGATATATTATGTGATGCCAAAAGAACACTAGATTATGTTCTAAGGGAGGCTCAGAAGACGCAGCATTCATGAAGATTATTGCGAACGTTCTTGTGAGACACTGACATCACTCAAAAGTCTTGGCCAGGGGTTAGTACAGGAGAACCTGCCATAGAGCTTGGCATGTTGATAGCAATGGGGATAATGGCATATCAAAGTAATAGAAGCCCTGTGGCTACTTGTAATGACCCAAATCTGGGAGATTGGTCACAATAACCATAAGGGGTGGCAAGGTCCAAGTGATATTCAAGCTGACATTGACTCATAGACAGGTGATAAGATGTTTAACAGAAAAAAAGCATGTCTGAGAACAAAATATGTGAGGTCAACAATGTTCTGCTGAAAATAGGTAATGAAAAGAAAGCAAACATGGATGAACAGGAAGCTAAGGGCAGCCACTTCAGTGGTGTCATGATCTTTAACCCAGTTTCCAAAACTAAGTCAATTTTCAGATCCAGAATACACTGATTGAAGTGCCTAGGTTCCCAACTGAAAGGACTCAGCAATTTAAAAATAATTAAACAGAAAATGGTTTTCCCCAGCACTTCCCCAAAGGGATCTTCAGCTGTTTACTCAGATGATACCTTAGGTAATAGAGATGCTAGACATATCAAGATCAATTGAACACAAGCTATGAGTGAGCATCGATACTTGAAGACCTGAAGCGTTTTCATGGCTTCCTTATTCAAGTAGAGGCATACAGGAAACAGGTATTTATTGGAATTAATATAGTTTGGAAACTCATCCCTACTCAAATCTCACGTTGAAATGTAATCCCTAGAGATTGGAGGTGGAGGTGACTGGATCATCACGGTGGATCCCTCATGAATGGCTTGGGCCATCACCTTGGTAATAAGTGAGTTCTCACTCTGAGTTCACATGAGATCTAGTAATGTAACAGTGTGTGGCACCTACCCTCCAATTCTGCTCCTGTTTTTACTATGTGAAGTACCTGCCCCCACTTCACTATCTACCATGAGTAAAAGCTCTCTGAGGCTTCTCCAGATGTCGAGCAGATGCCAGCACCATGCTTTCTGTATAGTCTGCAGAACAATGACCCAATTAAACCTCTTTTATTTATAAATTACCCAGTCTCAGGTATTTATTGATAGCAATACAATAATGGCCTAATACAGGAGTTATGACTAATGTTTGGTTTAACATTGATCCATTGGTCTGAAGATCCACCTTGTGATTATATTCTCCATGCCCTCAATTTATAATTTCAATTAAAGTATTTGGCAGTTAGATTATACTCCTACTGAGTCCTTGATTTGTATATTAAGGGCTTTGAGGAGAGTGGAGGAGGTCAAGCTTCCAACACTTCCCCCAACTTCACCTTGAAAGTAAATGAACATCACTATTTCATCTCTAGAGGGACACAAGATGGCAGTGTGTTGTGCTACCTTTAAAGATCTAAGTGAGGCATAACGGTGATTCCTGTCATATTTCTGTTTAACCCACTAGTGTGGTCTTACTGTAAATGAAGGGATCCTGGAGAATGACCATAGAATACCACAGTTTCAACCACGTAATGGTTTCAGTCATAGATGCCATAATAAATATGCTTGAGTGGATAAATATGTCTCCAGCTATACAGTATGTGATAATCAGTTTGACAAATGTAAGTCTAATATGGAAAAATGATCAGAAAGTTTTCTTATTTACATGAATTGGACTAATATATATTTGTTATATATGTCAGTCCTACATATATATTACATACATATACATATATTATATATATGTTTTGTATATACATACATATTATATATGTTTATATATACATACATATATTATATATGCTTTATATATACATACATATATTTTATATATATATTCAGTTTAATCCAGGGATCTATTAACTGTCATTTCCTCTGTCATAACAGAGACCCCAAAATATCTGAATTATCTAGTCATCCCAGAGAACATCGCATTGACTGTTCCCTCATGCATTTCACTATATTACCTTAGGTTATGTATGGTGAGACCAGATACAGATCAAAACAGATAACTGAAAAAGTTTACAGGTTTGTTATATTCACAGTTCCTGCAAACAACAAGGGGAAGAGGCTTCAGAGTAATACTTTATTATGGATTCTGCAAGAACAAAAGGACAAAGCAGGAAAAGTATGTCTAGGATTGGCTAATGTGAATAATTTCAGTAGCATCTGGAGTATAGGGGCTGTCCTTGGTTGTCTGGTATCTGATTCTGTTGGGGTTATTAGGGATGATACAGAGTAGCCCACAGTTGGATGGTCTATTGAGGGAAATGGTTGAAGTGTAGACTTAGACACTTAAAAAAGGCAACTTACTGGCCTTTTGCTAGTGCATCAAACCTGGATCAAGATAGAACACACAAAACTATGTTACATCATGATATCATGATGAACAGATCAGGAAGTATACTATGTCTGTATATATCAGTCATGAGCAGTGGCAAATAATGTGGCTAACTGCACAAGAGCCTGAAAGAAAAAGAAATGAAATATCAAAGACAAATAGTTCTTGAATAGAACCATGTACATGACTATATGGTGAAAACACATAGTGTAAATATGTTTATGTCAGATGTTAACTCCCACCAGAAATCATACATTTTTGGAAGAAGCCTTGCACAACCAGAAAGACAAAATAATGTCAGTTGACATTGTCCTTTCTCCATCTTCACATGATCCAGAAATGGCATAAGGGGCACATGAATAGAGTAACCAAAATGGCAGATGGAGGCTACACATAGACCCAACAAGATGAGCTGCAACATGGGCTATAAATGTCAAGATCAGGGAGGCTGAGGCAGGAGAATGGCGTGAACCCAGGGGGGCGGAGCTTGCAGTGAGCCGAGATCTCGCTACTGCACTCCAGCCTGGGGCACAAAGCAAGACTCCGTCTCAAAAAAAAGAAAAAAAAAAAAAAAGTCAAGATCAATTGACCTGTTACACTTCTGTATCTTTATCCTATCAGCAGCAAAGAACAATGTTGACCTCCCATTGTGTTACTGTTTCCTGAGGAGTTTGCCAAGTCAGATTCTTCTTTACCTGAAGGGCTATCGTCTTCACTGGAGTAAACAATTTTCTGAGTACAAATTTGCCTTTATAGTCTATGTATCATCATCCACCCTCAACATTCAGGGTTATTGAGTGATTAACTCAAATGCCACACAAAATAGTATCTAACCAAAAAACCACACTTTACAGTAAAGGAGGTACAGTTGTGAGCCCATAACAATGGAATCCACTGATTCTACACCATAATGCTCCATTCAAATGCAGCTGGAATGATAATGTTGGAATTGCCTGAAGGCAAAGTGGAGACAATACTCAGTGAAGGTGAGGTACCATTCTCCAGATTTCCTCAACCCTGAATTAGAGCCTATATATGTTGCTTTTTTTTTTTTTTTTTGAGTAGAAAGAACACAGAAGTCTGATAACCAGTTGGTTTGCAGTGAATGTGACTTTGCTATGTCCTCTAGCAGGACCAGTGTTTGGTAGCAAAAGTGGCCTTACTTGCTGTCATTTCCATGTCTGCAAATAAGGACTCTTCAAAGCTAGAGGGTCTGAACCCTAACTCTTGTGCAGTCTTGCTAATGGACATAGCAAAGTCACATTCACCACAAACTAGTGTTGCCAACTGGACACTTTGTACTCCTTGTGTTTGGGGAAACAAGCAAGAAGAGTAGCCTTCTTTGTGTATGAATAATTGATCCTAATCAGATGGAGGAGGTAGGGCTGCTGTAACACCGCAAGAGCAGGAAGTAAAATGTGTGGGACTGAAGTCACCACTCTGGTGCTTCTTGTTATTACATTACCAGGCTGTGACTATGAATGGAGAAATGTAGCAAAAATAGCCTGAGAAGGGTATGTTTATCAGAGTCTAAACTCTCTAATAGGAATGTTTCAGTCTTACCACCAAGAAGCCAGAGGACCTCATAAAGGTGACAAGCCAAAGGCAGCAAATTTAGAATGCATAGTGCCA